TTAAAAAGTTGAGGGAGGAAAGTTAATTAAAGCCGGTTTAGCAGAGCCCCCTTAATTACATACAAGATAAACCGTCTTCCCGGTTAATTGTACGGCAAATATAATATGATATTTGAATATAGAATGAACATTATGAAGCGATGATTATGTCACCCTGCACTCACTGAGAGCCGCATCTGCAAGAATCATGTTACAAGATTGATGGTATTGCAACCTCTATTGTATTACAATATCGTTTTACAAGATGCCAATTTATGACAGAAATTTGAATTCAAATTATTCTATAACCCCAACTTGGTGGTTTTCTTGTGAAAAATGCATACGCTTATTTCAAAATCTCTTTAATCGGCATCAACAGCAATATAAAGGCAATATTTTATAAGTTATATCTCTGCCCGTACACAACGTTTACACTCTAGATCCTAATAACGGTCACTATATCATGCACATGTCCGAATCGCTAATAATGTTCTATTACAAGTCATTTTATAGCAACTAGTAATATGAGGTTGGTTCAGTATTCATATAAATCAGAACGTCCAACAAAGCGAATATTTTACTAACAAATTCTAACCTGGGTTGTGTAGTACCGCTCACATTGTGTTTCCAATAAAAATCATGAATTTGTAATGCACCCGCAAGATTAATGGCGTGTTACATGAACCCGTTAAGATTCAGGTGAGCTGATCATACCCAAAGACGAACAATAAACTTACTTTTATTGACACCAGCTGAGTAGAAACTTGACTTCTATTAGTCTGTCCCCAGCATCTGTAAAGACACGGGACACAGTAGCAAGGTGGAGAGGGTTGGGTATAAAACCGCTTTGAATAGTATCCCATTATTATCAGGACGTGTGAGACGCCTAAAGGGTGCAGGGTTTTGACGTTTACCCTTTTGCTGAAACCCACAAGCAGTGCTGGCAAACATAGAACCAGTATTTGATTGAAAATGGCATTCGAACCATAATAATAGGATTATGTTACACCAAAGGGACGGAACTCTACACACAGATATGTGAGGGACGTAACTTTGCTGAACAGTTTTCAGCATATTGGGCTAAACGTGCCCCGGCAGAAACACATACCAGTTTTTTATCAGTATTATAAAAATATATTAATTACGAATTTCTTATCTTCAAGCAGGGAATTATTCTTTATTTTGCTGCAGGTACCTGGTGAAATAATTTCGCAGCAAAATCTAGTTCCCCTGCTCTGAGTGCGTGAGTGAGTTTAGTTTTCGCCGCACTCAGCTATATTCCAGTTATATGGCGGCGGTCTGTAAATAATCGAGTCTGGACCAGACAATCCAGTGATCACCCCGCTGCTCTGAAGGAAAGGTGCATGTGCGCTGGACGGCTCGAAACTGAAGACATTAATTCTATCGGGACGTCATGCTAATTCGTGAAAGTTTCACGGTTGTTCTCTGAATATGGCATGGTCACCTGACGTAGAAGTTAATCAAATTTATACAACCGATTCCAACCTAGCGACAGTGTATGGGAGGCGTTGAATATAACGTCATAGTCTTGTTCTGACGTCATATGAACTATTAAGAGCATTTGATAAGAGTGCGTGTTCACAATTCTGATAATTAATAAACATTGTACAAGGGAAACGTAAGTAATGCTGTGATGATTATCAAGTTATACAATCCCAGGATAATATTTAATTTGGACGTATTTGAGTTCATAACTTTCCGCTTTTCACAGTAATCTCTCTGTTACAGGTTTGACAACAAAATTGGCCGTCATATATTCTATTCATGTGAAGAATCGAACTCGATGTGGACTGTCAATGATGTAATCACAGGGCTACCCTACAATCCACCCTAATGTGTATACAAGCATGGTCATCTCCTAAACAAATGGGACGGTGAGGTAGCCTAGTGGTTAAAGCGTTCGTTCGTCACGCCGAAGACCCGGGTTCGATTCCCCAGGGGACAAAGTGTGAAGCCCATTTCTGTTGTCCCCCGCTGTGATATTGCTGGAATATTGCTAAAAGCGGCGTGAAACTAAACTCACTTTCACCTAACAGGTTCTCGAGAAAAGTCGCAGTTTCTCATTTTTGCATCAAGCTCCGCTTTCGCATCTGCAATACATTAGGAATTTTGAGCGTCCATCTAGATTTTACAATTATATTTTCTATGGTCTGTCTGAAATGATATTATTGTCTCTTTGTCACTTTTTGTGTCTAGCAAAATAAATGTTTTGGCGACGAACAGAATATCGCTCAACAAATTAACATGGACATGTGTGCTTTGGGGTCGTGTGACAGTGTATGCATTTAATATCAAACTTCTTCACAATCTCAGAGTTATCGGAATGAAAACAATATAAAAGCTCAACGACAAACAATTCTGTGTAAATCTGTCATTACATTTGGGGCGTGAACGTCATAAATATTTCATCAGAGTTAAAAACTAAACAAATGTGTTTGTCAACTTCCTCGGGCGTATCCCGTATCAGTTTAATGTACACTTCCGCCTTAGCTTTTATCCACGAAGGACATGTTCAGTGTAGAGTTTGAATATCAGTAAATGAAGGGCCTGATATTAGGACATCAACATAAAGCTCCTTTTATATATGTATATTTCACAAATAATAACCAATGCAATCTGGCTTAGCATAATGTCGAGCTGAACACAATCATTGCTTTTTCTCTGTGTCGTGGAATAAGTGAGACCAGTTTGAGCTACAAAATGATTTTGAAGGGGCGGTGGAGTAGCATAGTGGTTAAAGCGTCCGCTCGTCACGCCGAAAGCCCGGGGTCGATTCCCCACATGGACAGAATGTGTGAAGCCCGCGATATTGCTGGGATGTTTAATAAAAGCGGCGTAAAACCGGACTCACACTCGAATACATTTGACACAAAAATATTTGGTTGTTGTGTGGGCGAGTAGGGAGTGGGTGACACAGCATCAGCAATTTTTCACCCACGTAGTGGCAATTAATTGTACACTTATAACCAACATTCACAGTGAAAGTGTTAGACAAGTAACCACACAGGCACAATGAGAAAGCATTATGTTACTAGATAAGCAACAATGAGCATAATAAAAGCATGATGTACACGTCCACTATCTGTCATACATGTCTGAAAATAAATGTGAAAAGCACTTTAAAACTGCCCCATGATACCCTGATTTGGGTATGTTAATCTGTTCGATTTCACACGGAGGATGCCAAGTTTTACACAAATTTACTTCTTACATAATTTAGGAGATCATTAAGTGGCCTCCAAACTTTTTCTAACTGTAAATAGAGATCGAGCAGTAAAGGACGAGCCGAGGCCGAGTACCGTTATTGTGATAGTCTCGCGGCGATAAAAATGCTGAAAGAAAGTCTGCCGAGCACCCGTGTGAATCAAATAATCGATGACAGTGTCCGGCCGACAGTCCGTCCACGGCTGCATTGGACATGGCTCGGCGTGAATGAGGGCTGATCAACGGGAGGTAACTCTTGTAAGCTACACATTGAAAACAAAGTCAACAAACCGTACATAAAAGGAGCCAAGAGCGCGCCATGTAGTTTGCAGATACGCTTTTATTGATAATCTTTTAAAATGGTTTGCATTAATTGATCCTAAATAAAGTAGGTGCAGATCATGGTATTTAACCAGTGTGTGTGATGCAATAGAACGAATGCATGGCTATACATGTGCCGTTGAGATTGATATCCAATGATCTAGGGGAAAATACCAGCGCCTTGAGCATGCACTAGTGCGTGGATATGTGCGCTATATAAATATCCTATAAAAATATTTTTAAAATATTTTAAAAATACGGTGGTATGTGTATCTCGTGCATCGTTTATCGCCACATTTAACAATATTCCACCTTTAAATAATTGATTCGTGACCAGACAATCCAGTGATCGATATTATGAGCATCGTGGTGCGATTACACCCAATCCACAAAGTCACGTAGCCTGACCATCCAATCCATTAAGGTGCCTCTTACGACCTGTATAGAAGGCGGTTTTACCCTCCGGACACAAACCTTTGTCATATCGGAAGCAGTATCACAGAAACGCTACTAACACGTTCCAGCAACATGAGTGAGTGAGTTTGGTTTTACGCCCCTTTTAGCAATATTCCAGCAATATCTCAGCGGGGGACAACAGAAATGGGCTTCACACTTTGTGCCCTGGGGAGTCGAACCCGGGCCTTCGGCGTGACGAACGAACGCTTCAACCACAAGGCTACTCCACCGCCCCCTGTGACATGAAGGTACACATATAGCGGGCTAGTGTGCGAGCTACGTTAACGCCCATTTGACCGTGTATATCACGCTGTGAGCTTAATGACGCAGACCTAAGACGCTAACCACAAAGCTGAAACCAACGATCAACGATATGGTGTTGATAGAACGATAATCAAGGTCGCGTGAAGTTCGGACCCAAGAATAGCTTAACCTGAAACAACGCTTCTTCCATTGGTACTCGCAGTGAAAACGACTGGCTGGCTGAGTATGGTTTTACGCCGTTTTTAGCAATATTCCAGCAAACGACTGTCTGGCTGGGGTTTTACGCCGTTTTTAGCAATATTCCAGCAATATCACGGCGGGGGACACCAGAAATGGGCTTCACAAGTTGTACCAATGTGGGGAATCGAACCCGGGCCTTCGGCTACCCCACCGCCCCCAATGAAAACGAACAAAATGCGATTGATTTTTTCCATTTGTTTTATTACTCGTAAATACTATTACCATTACAACAATACGAAAAAAATACACTACAGTCAACATATCTGATAACGGAGTTTCTGTTGTATCACACGTCAGAGGCAATTCAGTCAACAACAGTTGTCCCGACATCAACATACTAGTAATACCTCACACACAGGCACAGCTTAGACTTAGACATGCACGTCCTTCACCTTCAGATATAACGAATCTACATACCGGGAAGGTCACGATTAATCGAAATATCAACACATCGCGATACTTACCACCACAATACAGTCACACCGATACCAAACACGATTGTGTCAAATCAGAAAGTGTTTAAATTCCAGGGTCTATTTACCTGTTGGAGGATGTCAAGTGTATGGTAAGTACACTGGAACCGTCTGGTTAGTACCGCGAATCAGCGCCTTGTAAGTACTGTAAAACTGTTCTGTAAGTACCGCGAAACAAGCAGTGTCTTTTAAGTGCTGGGAAATAAACAGTGTCTTGTAAGTAATGTGAAACACGCAGTGTCATGTAAGTACCATGAAACAAAGTATCTTCAAAATATCGTTGTGTACCCTGTAGTACGTATCGTGTGATATGTCAAATACTAGTGATTCTGAATTTTGTAGAAAAGCATATTTTATCAATTAAAGTTTTGTGAAACTTATCAAAGTCATGAGGAAGTCGATACTCTGGCAAGTTATACAGATCATGTTGTAAGTATCGTCGGACAAATCGTATCGTGTGGCAAGTACCGCGATGCATATTGTCTTCGATAATTGTGACACCCTTTGCTAAAATAACGAGTGTTGAACTATTTCAGAAGTTTCGTTATGTTTCACATTAAACATATTCTGTCACAGTCTCCATAACAACAGAACAGACCCTTCTGTGGAACAGAGGACAACTAGCTACTTCGGCCGCGTCAAGTCAGACTTCCGGCTGATGTTGTAGCACAGGAACCTCTGTAGAAACAACGGGATAGGCAGATTGTAAGTGTTCTCCAGAGGGATTGCCAGTTTAGTGAACCACTGTCTTAATCGGCGGACAGACAGGACAAACAGACAACACGGACTTGAGGCTTGAGTCTGTAGGCGACACAGAAGGGCAAGATCAGCTGACAGTGCAAACGGGGGCTTCTTACGACTTTCCGGAACGGGGCGTGTAGTAAGAGGGGAATCGGGGGGCAAGAAGGTAAGGTTCGAGGGTCAGATCACACCCATGAAGGATGAGAAACTCAGCGATATTGAAGTGACCTTGATCAAGGGCAAGAAATAGTGACGTCCGGCCTGAGGATGTTTGTGAATCTATGTCCGCCCCTGATGCTAGAAGAAGCTTTGTTGTGTCCAACTGACCTATTGCTACTGCTATGTGAAGAGCATTCTGTCCCCATCTGTCGAACACATGCATGTCAGCGCCTAGATCCAGAAGAGTGGACACCATGGACCGGTCGTATCTCGCCACGGCTTCGTGGAGGGGAAACTGACGGGCTCTGTTGGCTTGATTCACCGGACATCCGCCTTTAACAAGTATTCGAGCAAATTCGGTTCTTTTTTCTCCTTTGAAAGACATGAGTGCGTGCAGGGTTGTTTCCCCATTCCTGCGCGAAACCGTCACGTCCAGACCCTTCTCTGGACATTCAGTGAGGAGGAAGGTGGCGACATCTTCTGATTCACATAACAGTGCTGTAAACAGAGGGCTGGGTCCACTGTCGTCACGGAGGTTGATGTTAGCTCCATGATCCACGAGCACTCGGGCCAGCTGGTAGTAGTTGTATTTAGCTGCAAGGCCAAGAGGGGTGTTTCTCTGGTTTCCAAAGGAACCTGTAACGTTTGGGTCAGCACCGTAATTCAGCAATACTTTAGCTATGTTGTGATAGTTGTACCGTGACGCCAGCACCAGGGGTGTCTGTGAGTAATAGTTGACCGCATCTACTGAGGCACCTTCTTGGACTAGAATCTTCACAATCTCCAGATTATTCTGTTCTACTGCAATATGGAGACAAGTCTCACCGGAAAACAACGCCCGCAGATCGATGGCGGGACACGCATAGTGGTCAGGAGGTATGGGTCTCCTCGCGTTGCCATGGATCCTCTGGTAGTTGCAGATGATGCTGAGGGCATGTTCATCCCGATGGAGGACCGCAACGTGGAGGGGGGTGAACCCTGCCTTGTTGTATACACCTAGAACACAGCCATGTCGAAGCAGCAGTTTAGTGATGTCATAGAAACGAGAGAAAATGGCGACATGGAGCGGGCTGTTCCCATCAGAGTCCTTACAATTGATGTCATAGCCAGCGTTCAACAAAGACTCAACCGCAGAAGGAATGCCAGTCTCAACTGACATGCATAAAGGTGATCTCATTGAATCGGGATACCCTCCTCCAATGTCAGCCATGCTAGAAAAGGGTCGCCTGTCTCTGTCTCTTGTCCTGTGCGAGAGAGCAAAGTCTAGGTTTATTGGGAGACTGTGAGCTGCTGGTTCTTCTGAAGGGATGGAGCCCGCCCTCGTGCAGTCTTGATGCTTCTCAAGCGGTAACCAATCAGAGGCGGCCTCAAGTTCCTGATGACGTAATGTGTCAAGGCCGGAACGACGTTTTATCTTCAGGTAAACCTTCTCCTTTGCACCACGGCTCAGGATCCGGAATTCCTCATCGGGCAACCAATCTTCGTCACCCTGGCAACGAGAAAAAGTACCAGTCAGCTAAGTACTACAATCAGTCGTCTTGCCACAATCTATATACATAAATAATGACTGTAATTTGACTTGCTATATAATACAACAAATCTGAGCAGATTGTTCATACAACTGACTGACTGAGTTTGGTTTTACGCCGCTTTTAGCAATATTCCAGCAACATCACGGCGGGGAACACCAGAAATGGGCTTCACACATTGTGCCCATGTGGGGATTCGAACCCGGGTCTTCGGCGTGACGAGCCAACGCTTTAACCATTAGGCTACCCCACCGCCCCTTGTTCATACAAAACCCACCTCTATATACACATACTGTTTCATGTATTATCTTGAGTTGCCGCAATTAAATGTATCAGTATGTAATTCCTTCCGAAGATATGAATATATAGAAGTGCACATTTTAATGATGTTCATATTAACTGATGGAACTGAAACGTTAATTTATAACATTTGTAGATTTATTTTCCCTTTAGTACCAAAATACAAACATGGTAATATATTGCTTGCATTGAACAACTATGATACTACTGTGAATGTGTATGAATTCAGACTTGATCTCGTCACTATATGGCTGGAATAAAGCCGATGTGACGTAAAACCAAACTCAACTCAATTCAACTGCATTACTGTAATTGAAAAACTGCAGATATACACTCAAACGTGCTGATTGGGTTGATTTTAGCATGCACATCTCATAAAGTATGTTATTGCGTAGTACTAGTAGTCACATAATACTGGCTGGCAAAACAACCATGAAATACTGGAATGACTAATTCACTAAGCATGCACGGCAGTTAAAGGTCGGAACTTTCTGACTGAAGGAAACAATTCCATTGACACCGGGTCATGATCATAATAACAACACGTAGCAATTCTTGAAATGTACAAACGTACATACCATATTGCGCCGCCAGACATCCTTCCTAGTTGTCCTGGAAGTATGTCAGGAGGAGTGGAGACGAAAGCCTTTCCATTTCATCAGTGACTTGAATAACAGGTGCGCAGTCCATATTCCATAGTGCTAGAGCTGTCAAAACACCTGCCACGCCCAACCTCACCCCGTTGACCAGAAACTCGGACCTAGTGCTACGCTGATCACATGTCTTCACTGGACTACAGGCAGATACTGATAATGTACACGTGTCTGCCCTAGACTATGCTATCCTTATCCCTATAGCCCGGAAACAACTCTAGGCCAAGACCGGTGTCATGGCAGATAGTTGCCCAGCTGTCATAGAAAGGGAAGTAACTGCGTGAAGACTTGTAGTAACCAGCTCGAATCGCCCCAACATACAGGTGATGTGTCAGTAGCGGAACAAGCCGAGTGGAGCCGAGTGACTTTGACCGTGCATCGAAGCGAAAAGGCCGTCGCATGTATTCTGATTGTTTTCAGTGTGCTGAATGCATTGTGTGATAGGAAGTTATTCTATTATTAGTTACAAAACCGATCTGCATCAAACCCCGCATTTTGACATTTATAACAAAAACATACAAACAATCCCATTTTAATAGTTACACACAGAATATTTATTGTATGAGATGAATAAGTGAATATGCTTTTACGCGGCTTTTAGCAATATTCAATTAATATCACGGCGGGGGACACCAGGAATGGGCTTCACACATTGTACCCATGTGGGGAATCGAACCCGGGTCTCCGGCATGACGAGCGGACGCTTTAACCACTAGGCTACCCCACCTCCCCTATTGTATGAGGAATTCAAATCCAATTTGCTAGAAATAACATCATATTGAACATTTAGTGGAAAATAACGTTCAATGGGACATAGCATTCAAATAGCATTCAACGGGACACACTTTTCAACAAAACATTACATTCGATGGAGCATAATACGGGAACACAACATAACACGTAAAATAACATTCAACGAACATAACAATCGCCGATAAAAGAATCAATGATGATAACCTATTTATAGCTTTCGTTATTTCGGTTTTCTGTTAAATAGGTTTTCGTGTTATGACTAGACGGATATATGAAAACGACATATCTAATGTAACTGTTAATTATTCATGGACAACTTCTAAACATGAACTTCTAAAACAACTCTCTAGACTCCGAAACGTTTTTCTCATTTAAGATGAAAATACCTTCGTAAGATAAACCATGTGTAGTGTTTGTATTGGGCGTATAGTCTCGTATATTCTTCCTTGTAATCTTAACTACATTGTCTAGGGCCTACTGTATTCAGTACACACACACTGAAGAGCTCTTAAAACAGTAAATATGGTGATACTACCGTCGACCATGCGACCTCTTCCCTCCCGACTGAATCTACCTGGGTTGCATGGTACGCAGGTGTGACCAGGGGAGACAACTCGTCATGCTGACACTATAAAGACCCGGTACACTGGCAATCCGGAGAAAGTAGGATAGGTTAAAGGGTTGTTAAAACCCGCTGGAAGTTTTCGCACCGACCTCTGTCATTTGTAAGTATCTTTTTCAATGTTGAATTTTCTCGCAGTTTTGTACCTGAAGGGTTATTTAATGAATTTGCGTTCACTGACTTAACCAGGCTGCCGGTTGAAAGAAAGAACACACCTTTGTTAGGTGGTAGGTCAAATTGAAACAAAAAGGGAGAGTTATGTCATAGAGGTGTGATTGAACCGGGATCCGTAGTGATTTGGACTTTAGATTTGCAGTTTTGCAATGTTTCAGCGACTGTTTCAGCCAAGTAGTTTTCATAGCGTTTGTAACGATTTGGTCACGTCCAATCTTTAAGTGTAAACTTTCTTTTGCCCCGAGGTTTTCGAAATGATTCGAGCCAACCGTTATCATTGCTTAACACGCCTTTGTATATATTTATTTTTAATTTTCGTATCACCCTACCCTGTTGGGTCAGTCAGATTAGCATATTACTTTTAAAACAAACAAATAAAACAAAACAGTTTTAAATACAAAACTATAACGTATATGTAAAATACACTTCTATGTCAGTATGCATGTAGAATGCATACTGGGTGTTTCAAAGTGTACGCTCATGGTGGTCCAGCCTTGACTTTCGTGTTAAACAACACTCACTTACTCATTCTTTGTGAAAACATGCGCCCCATAACTGTGTCATGATCCGTGGATTTGTGTTGATGATCCATTTTGATCCATTATGCTCGCGTGTTAATGACTGTCACACGGTAGACAAGACGGCCTACGATACGTCGCTATCGCCTACGTTGACATCGTGCTGTAACTGAAATACTATGAACAGCCTTCGCGGTTTTGTGGCTTTTGGGACACTCGGATCAGACTCTTTCACGACAGATTCAGTTGTGACAGATGTGATCGTCAGCAGACAAAGAGACATGTCAAGTGGTAGGTGTGTTGGTTTCATTACCTTCTGTATCAGTCCACAGGCAAGTCTATTTTGTCTGTACTTGACTTTCGACCCGGACTAATGACCATTAATGCCACCATGGATGTGTATCAGGACACGTGAACTCGAGGTCTGTTCTACGATCAATTACTTCCCTTTGTTTACATGTATTCAGAGACAAGGGCGTTTGATTTAATTGTAAAAAAAACAAAAACAACAACAACGACTTCCGTGGCAAGGAAAACATGTTGTCGACAGTATAAACGTTGTCCACGTTGTCGGAATACAAAGACGTGTGTACAACAGACAGACAGACAGACAGACACGTAGGGTTTTTTTTGTTTTACAAACTGAGGGTCATTTGGCCTGGACTTAAACTGTTACCGTTAAGGAATATACTGTCACGGGAATCTACACAAATGACACTTTTTGAATCTGAGAATAAACCATAGTTTAAAAACTAAACACTTGAAAAGAAACTATTTACGTTTTAAGAGTTAATAGTACTTATTAACTTATTAACATTTCTGGTTTAAAGTCAGTAATCAAGACCGAGAGCCGAAATACTTGTTACACTTAAGTAAGATGTGGAAGTAAGTGTCACTTCTGTCAAAACAGATACACATATTTTTAACATCAATAATGTTAGATTAGGGCTGGTTTTGAAATACTACAGCTGGGATACTGTTCTAACCCTGATAGCAATGTTCGTTGGGCCAACATTGGCCAACGTAGGCCCAATGATGGCCAATGTTGGTCCAACATTGGCCCAACGGACATTGCTATCTGGAAAGCGGCGTCAAACTCAATTCCGCCAACCACACACTCTTTGGCCGCGGCGTGATGAGGCTGAAATACTGTTCAAATCCTACTCACAGAATACTGGAAGGCAGGCTCAAAGTTGCATATCATATTATTTTTGGTTTTTGTGTCAGTCGACGGATATCTAAGAATTTTCAAAGTGGGCTATAGGGAAACATGACATTGTATTCTGTATGTGCAATCCACAGTCTGAGGCAGGCAAACGTTCTAATATTTCACTCTCCTTTTTCTAACATTTTCAAGTATTTTTCATTTCCCTGAACCAGGACGTTGTCATAGTTTCACATAATTCAAGATGAAGGCAACGTCGCTCTGTGATGTGCCAGTTTAACCAGGTGCGGTGAACTGTGTTTAACGTCCACTCAAAAAACGCACACATGTAGCTTTCGTGAAACATGCGTTTTAAGATATAAGACTGTCCAAACTCGCCAGTGTCTCAAATAAGTATAACGGTAAATGTAAACAGCGAGAACAAACGGGTACAGCACCGGTACCGCAGTCGAATGTTCACGGTAGTCTAATGATCCCAGACTTTATTTACCTGGGACAATATTTGCATAGTCACCGGCATGTGGAGGGTTCTCACACGATTTTGTGTCAACACCGTGGTAGACTTCCATCTTTTCACGTGATTTGCTTTCTTCTTCATACAAAGGTCACACACGTCAAGCTGTCCAGAGGCCAACAGCAACCGCGAAGTGTACCGGTAACTCTCGTTGTTTGACTTTAAGGGAGTTACTCATGTTTTAAGTAATGAGTATTGATCCGAAATCAATAGTGTTTGACTCGTACAGATCGATCGAACGATCCTAATGGAGCTGCGATATTTCTTTGATGGTCTACCCCTACCTTATTTGTAGCATCTGTATCATGCAATACGTGATTGAAAAGTCATTCACGTTTGCCATGCTATAGGTTCATAAATGAACCTATGTTGGAGTGGAACCCGTCGCGACGGACGAACGCTGTTACGATCCACTGTCCCAGTGTTTTTATTGAAAGCAAATTAAAAGATTAAAAGATTATAGCTGTTACAAAATCACGTTCGCGACGATTGAGATATCTCAGTAATTCAGATTAGTTGTGAATGTTTGTCGGCATCGCTAACATTTATTGTAGGCTGTGACAAAGTCCATAGTGTTTTTCACCCAGCCCTTTGTTTCGCCCGTTACTCGCGAAAGCCGCGTGGTACAATACCTGTACAATACCTGGACGACAGGGCCTTGCCTCCCGGAATGGGTGGGTTCACAACTACATGCGACAGGTTGGACTTAATGATGTGCCAGCATCGCCTGTAGGGGTGTTACTGTGTGTGCTGGACTTTACCTTGCACGACACCTGTACAGCTGGTTAGACAGGTGAGACATGTATTTTTCTTCTTTAATTGTCGTTTGGATAAATATTGGGGATCTGTGGTTGAATGGGTCTAAACTTACACGTCGCATTGCAATACTTCAGCCACCTAACGCCGAGGTAGGTTTAAGTATTAACTTGGGTCTTGTAGATGTGTTTACGGTTGGAAGTAAAAGCTTTCCGCTACCACAATACTGCTACTATATATTCTCTACAGGTACAAGGTTCTCGTATTGACAGTCGTCATTCATATTTCCAAGATTTTTACACACAAATACACACAATACCCAAATTAGTACTTATCAGCACGACTATACACATATGTATCAAATCATCACGACCCGTTTAGACACATATTACATCATCACGACCATATATACACATATATCGCATCATCACGACCATATACACATATATCACATCATCACGACCATATACACATATATATCACATCATCACGACCATATACACATATATATCACATCATCACGACCATATACACATATATATCAAATCATCACGACCATATACACATATATATCACATCATCACGACCATATACATATATATCAAATCATCACGACCATATACACATATATATCACATCATCACGACCATATACACATATATGTCACATCATCACGACCATATACACATATATATATCACATCATCACGACCATATACACATATATATCAAATCATCACGACCATATACACATATATATCACATCATCACGA